TTGGGCTTGGGTGTCCTGGAGCTTGGTAAAGCAGCACCAGTGGGTCTGGGAACAGCAGCTAGTCATTTTCGGCCATTGCTGGCTTAAAGACTGCTATTTTGTTTGTCACTGAAAGTCCCTGGGCTTGGGAGAGATGCTCTGGAACACTCGCTGTTCCCTTCCTGTGTTTACATCAGGCTTCTCCTGTGCTGACAGTAGCCAGGCAAGCACCGCAGGCTAAGCCCAGCCCTGAGAACCCCTGTCCATCCAGAGGGAACACAGTGGAGACGGCCATCTAAGCACGCAGGCAGAGGTCAGAAAGGACAGGGCTGAACTTAAGGCTGCTGGACGCTCTTCCTCAGACCTAAACCCAAATCCTCTGCAGGACTGGATCTTCCTAGAGTGTGACAGGAGTGTGAAAGGAGACTCTCAGTCTCCTTTCTTTAAAATGCAGTGACAACCACCGCCGTGCAGCAGGTTGTAAGGCTAGGGACGGCGTCCGGAAGATGTCAGTGTGGCACACGATCAGCACCTTATAGTTGGAGGTGTTTGTTAGTATGGAGCATTGCTGGGACTGAACGAACAACAACAAAAAAAGGTAAAGCAAAGCCTGTGTTCTCAGAGGCTCCCGGGAGAGCAGGGAGACATGTGAGTGATTTTAATCCTCCGCAGGTTGGGCTGTGCACTCTACCCAGAAGCTCAGACGACACTGCGAGAGAGTGAGGAGCCTTCTGAGTGAGGCTCTTGTGTCTAGAGGGCGGGGCAAGGCCTGATGGTTAACTCGGAAGGAAGGGGGTCTGGGACGAGGCCCCGGGGTGTGCTGGGTGGACTCACACCCTCTTTAGAGCATTGTGTGGGGCTCGGCAGGTTCCACGAGGCCTCTCCTTCCCTCACCTCCCCGGCTCTGCTGTTCTTCCTCACCTCCCCAGCCCTGCTGTACCCCGTTCTTCCTCACCTCCCCAGCTCTGCTGTATCCCCGTTCACTGCAGCTGAAGTCCTCCTGAAGTCCCTGTAGGTGGGAGACAAATGGTTGCTCAGACAGTGGGCGCTGACTAGGCGCCGCCTTCTGAAGAAGAGGCTGGGCTGAGCTTCCCTCTGTGGCTGCCCTCCGGCCCCCTCTCTCCCTTGGCCCCTTTATGAATCCACAAACATCTTTGTCTTAAGGGCCCTTCCTTCCTGGTTCCGTGGCTCCTCGCCTCTGTGGATGTCTGGTTTTGGCTGTTTCTCAGTGCTTGTCTCAGGACTTCTGTTAATGTCCCCTCAAGTGTGTCTGTCTGTCTGTCCCTGTCTGTCTGTGTGTGCGTGCGTGTGTGTGTGTGTGTGTGTGTGTGTGTGTGTGTGTTGCTCTCTGCTCATTGCGGCTGCTTCCCCTCATCTATAGGGAGTTTGAAGATTGGGAGGTAGCAGAGTGGGCGTTCACCCCCAAACACCAGGGGAGCGTGATGCTGTTGATTGCGTCTAGCAGGAGCTGGTCTGTGCTCACCTGTGTGTGAGGCCCTCTGCTTCTCTCTCTGCATTGCTGCGCTGGGTTCTGTTCTTGGACGTGGAGCCCGGCACACAGATGGAGCTGTGGTTCCCCCCCCAGCTCCTCGCAGGCTGTGCCGCTCAGCCAGAAGCTCCGGCCCAGGACCTCGGAGGAGTGCTGAGCCGCTCACCAGGCCACATGCTCTAGGGCACTGACATGCACCTTCGGGACACCTCTGCCCTCCGCGCCCACAAGCTCCCCCTCAGCAGCAGCGGCGGCTCTCCAGACTATGCGCTTATCCTTCCCAGCTCTGCCCCACGTTCCTCAGAGTGCCTTCTCTCGGGAGAGAGCCCTGTCCGAGCCACATCCTGCCTGTGTCGGTCTCACTTGGATGGTGCCTGGGCACACGGGGGAGCAGTGTCCTGCCTTTTTCCTGAGGAAGTTTCATGAGGTTGGACTTGGGTGTTTGCTTCTGAAATGCCATACACTAACAGACTTACTTAGAACACACTCATGTGCCTGGCAGCTAGGCCCTGTGCCAAGCGATGTGTCTTAGGGCTGAGAGTGACACAGTCCAGACTCAAAAAGTCGCCCCTCGGCTACGCTGAGACAGATGACTGGGCAGCGTGGTCCGTGGTTCTTTTTACGGCAGGAAGAGAAGTCCATAGAGGGGCTGCTGTAATCTGAGCCTCGGAAGGCATCCCAGGAGAGGAGGCTCCTCCCCTCCTCCAAAGAAGGAGAGAGCGGTAGTGACAGGGGCCTGTGCCGGGATGTGAGAAGTGACCTTTGCCCAGCTTATAAGGAGTCTGGAGAACTTAGACTAGACTCAGCATTTTCCTAGGTGTGAGTTCACTTTCCCTCACCTCCTGTCTTGGCTGCAGGCATTGTTTCCCCTCTGCTGCTCTGGCTGCAGGGCTATTTGGGGGTGTGGAGTGCTGCTCTTGACTTTGGTACAGAAAGTGGTCTTTCCACTGATTCAAATTCCGAGACCCCTCGTGCCCTTCCTCACTGGACTCTGCTGGTCATTGCTTCCATTCTGTTTTTAGATTAAATTACTTCCATGAAGGCAAAGATCAAAATCAGCAGAAAAGCAGACACCACCCTTCTGTATCTCTTTCTTAGGTTCCCGGAAGTCTCTCTAATGTGTACCCCTAGTTCTCTAACTGCTCAGGGGTAAAAAAAAAAAAAAAATGGTCACAGCTATTTAGTAGGTGCGTGCAAAGAACAGTGATGGGCCTGCACCCACCTCACCACATTTGGGCTCACAGAAGCACAGGAGGTAGCCACACCGTCCCCTGTAAGAAAATGCAGCTTGCGGGGTAACTTGGCCAGGGCCCCTAGTCAGGAAGAGTTGCGGGGGACCGTGGAAGCCTCAGTCTTCCCCTGAGCTGATTCTCCTAGCCTCTGAGCAGAAAGGGTCTTCCAGCAGTCTAGTCCAGACCTACCAACTTACAGTGAGCAGATAGAGGACCGGATAACCTGGGGCCAGGGCTGCTCACCCCAGCAAGGTCCGTGTCCTGTGATTCCAGGCACAGCCCACCGACATCCTGCTGCAGGGCCTTGACCTCTCATTGCCAGTAAACGTGCGGCCTGCTGCCCACTGTCCTCTGGAGATGCCAGCAATAGACCATCATCCAGGCTTCATGTAGAACAGCTGTGGCGGGTTTCAACCCGGACTGACCCAAGTTCACAGACTGTCCTGCTCACTCAGGCTGGAGGAGCCTCGAGGAAGAGAACCAGGAGTACAGACTTTGTAGCAAATAGCTGCGCTGCTTATGAATAAATTTGAATAATAATGAGTACAAATGCATGAATTAATAACACTGGCTGTTCACCTGACCAATCCTTCCTCCAGGAGCTCAGCATCTGCCATCCTTTTCTCTGGAGCCAGGGATGAGCCTTGTCTTTTTCTTCTTTAAGAGATGGGATGGGGAATCAGGTCTGCAGAGTTGGGAAGCCACACACACACATACACACACTCACAGAGAGAAAGAGAGAGAGAGAGAGAGGCCTTTTTCTAACTTCCTGGCCCCCTGCAGGTCCAAAGAGATGCATTGTCACATTTAACCAAGGGCAAAGCGTGCTTCCTGTGTGTAGTCTGACCACCAGACTCCAGGAGATCCAGGAAGAAGAGAGAGGTTCCATTCTGGTGGAACAGACAGGGCAAACACTTCCACCAACAACTTGCCTTCTACCTCCCAATGACAAAATCACAGGAATAATCCCTGATGGCGTTGGCCAGGAGTCCTGTAGATAGAGCTGTCACAGCAAGGCTGGGGTGGGGTGATCTGTGCTTACTGGGGCAGGGGCTTTCCTGAAAGGAGAACGTGGGAGCACCTTTGGAAAGACGAGATAAATGGGACTGGAGAAGAGAAAGGAGTGGGTTGTGGGTGGGCTAGGGTCTCAGGGTGGGGTGTTGCTCAGTGGTGGGGTGCCCTGGGTTTGATCCTGGAGTAGGAAGTGGCAGAGGCCCTACACTGGATGAAGGGAGGGGTGGCTAGGGAGAGGGGTTGGAAGGAGTTGGATTATAGGGTTGGGGACTCTGAAGACTCAGTGAGCTAGAGGGAAAGGTAAGCAAGGAATCTAAGCTTTGAAGAGAGTTTATTTTGATTGCCTGGTGTGACCTATTGGAGTCAAAGAAGCCTCCAGCTTAACCCTTTGCTGGCCACTCATCAGTTCCTCTCCCTCCCTATAGCCTAGAGCAGGAAGCTAATGCCCACATCACACATCACCCAGGGCGCAGTGGGCAGCCCTGCCCCTCCACCAGGGCCAGGCAGAGATGAAGCAAGAGAGAAGAAATCCGCAATCCAATTCCCTACTCCATTTAGGCTCCACAATTAAAGGCAATTACTCAGCAGCTCCCTAATCAAATGTTCCCAGCCAAGCTGCCAGCCAGGCAGCCATGTGTAGCTGCTGGAGCCAGGGGAGAACAGAACAGAGTCCACACCGTCTCAGCTCCCATGACACAGGAGAACGTATGCACACAGCTATGTCAGTGTGCACACCCCTGTGCCCCAGCCCCTGGGTCAAGGGTGAACACACGAACGGGGCCGGTGTCCCCAGGTGTGTCCAAGGCCATCTGGCTTTGTGTATGCCTCTGAATCGTCTGCGTCCCGAGTGCACATGCTGACGTCTGTCAGCCCGCAGTGCCTGGGGAGAGAGGGGCTGTAGCATAATGTTCACCTTTGCTGGGAGTGCCACCCACGAGTGTCCAAGAGGAGGCGGCAGAGGCTAGAACCGCCTAAGAGCTGGGCAGCAAGAGCTTGACCTCTAACCCTAGCTCAGGGGGTGGTCCTTGGGTCAGTGCTGCTCCCTGGACTTCAGTGTTCAAAACTGAGTCAGGCCTGATCCAAAGACCTTCAGGTAGTGACAGGCCGTCTCTGTGATTGCTGAGCCCTCCAGAGTAGACCTATACCTGGGGCCCTGAAAGGGAGGCTGCCCTAAAGCAGCGTGTGGCACCGGTGGGGAAGCGTGGCGCTGGAGCGCGGGATAGGAGTGGAATCCTCTGAGGGCCCTTGATGGAGCCCCGCTTTCTCCTCTTCTTGCCTCCTGCCAGCTTTGGCCCTGCCTGGGACCCAGACCCGCTTCAGCCAGGAGCCATCGGATCAGACGGTGGTGGCTGGGCAGCGGGCTGTCCTCCACTGTGAGCTCCTCAACTACTCGGGGATTGTACAATGGACCAAGGACGGGCTGGCTCTGGGCATGGGCCAGGGCCTGAAAGGTGAGTGGCGGGCAGGACAGTGCTTCTGTTAGAGTGAAGGCCGTCCTGGGCAAGGCCTTGAGTCTGATCGCCCGTGCAGGAGGGGAGGAAGGGGTCCCTGTGTGTTCTCAGCCTCCAGCCTCCAGAAATCTTTCCCCGCTCTCAGCCTAGATTCCTGGGATTCACCGCCATCCTTCCCTGTGTCCTGTTCTTCACTCCTGAGCCCTGTCACTTTTACCTTGCAACTCTCGCTCTCCTCAGATTGCGGATTGGCTCAAGAAAGGCAGCCTGGGAGATCAAGAGAAGCAGATCTCCACACGGAGAACTTTAGACAGACTCAGGGAACAGGATGGGGTGCTGTAGGCAGGTCGGGCAGGAGGCACTGGGCTAGCAAAGCCTCTGCATCCCACGTAGGTGGCGCACCTGGGCCGTCTGCCCTTCCTTTTCTAATTTTTGAAATTATAATATAATTACAGCATTTCTGCCCTCCCTGTCTACCCTTTGAGTGCTTCATGCTTTTCTCTGGCCCCTATGTAAACAGTCATGTCTGCTTAGAGGCCGTCAGCCTAAGTACATGTTTAATAATTCCATAAGCACCGGCTATATGCAGCCACTGCTGAAAAACCTAAAGATGCAGTCAGAGCCCAAAACACCAGCCCAGAGCAAGCGCAGAGACCCTCAGAGCACTCCTTGGCAGAGAGTAGAGCCGAGCGAGGCACCCGGCTCTCGCTACCCCCGGCTTGCCCACTGGATGAGTAGAGGAGCACCACTTTGCTTTGCTCTCGTTGCCTTGATTTGCTGATTTGTAGAGCAGGTTTAACAGTCACAGCCTGTCTGTCTCACAAGTGCACCCTTGGCTTGTGTCTCGTGGCAGCATGTGCTTCGTGAGTGTATGTTGTTGGAGGGGGGGCTGTAATGCTCGGTAATGGTGGGAGTGGCTGGGAACTTCTGGACTTACTATTCTTGCAGGTGGTAAGATTATTGGCTATGGGTCCAGGCTGAGGAAACCTGCATGGCACAGTCTATAACGGAAAGATGGATTTGATGGATCTATTGTTAATGAGAGAGAAAATGAGAAAGATTGAGGTTAATAGATACGCTGTCAGAGGCATCCATGGCCTCAGAGAGAGGGGACATGGGAGGGAGATGGGCGGGGTCTGGGAGCCTGTGAGAAAGGCACACTGGACACAGAGACCCACTCTGTGTCTTTGAAAAGAGGTAGAAATTCATCTGGGTTCTCCTTTGGGAAGCCAGCAAACCTTGCTCATTCTCCTTTCATGGTGAGTGGGGACAAGGCCTTGTGAGCCACACAGACTGCCCAGGAAGTAGACGCCTGCCTCTACCATGCCCCCTCCCCTCTCCATCTCCTCAATGGTTGCTTCTTCTTCCTTTGCTGTGTCAGGAGAGACACTTACCAGCAAACAGCTCTGGAGATTTCATCTGCTGCTCTCGTTCTCTCCCTCCCTTCTTCCCTCATCATTCCCTCCTGCTTTATCGCCCCAGCACCAGGGAGTCTGTGTCTGATATTCCCAGTCTCACCTGCCAGCAGTGCCCAGGAGAGAGAGCCACGGGAGGAGAGCTGGCCTGGAACAGATGCGGGTCTGCTTTGGGGAGGGTCTAAGAGGTGATGAGTCCTGCGTAGAGGACAGGTGGTCCAAGCCCGAGACTGGGTCTGACTCTAGTCTTCCCCTTTCTGTCCCTGCAGCCTGGCCACGGTACCGGGTCGTGGGCTCTGCGGATGCCGGGCAGTACAACCTGGAAATCACAGATGCCGAGCTCTCTGATGACGCCTCCTACGAGTGCCAGGCCACCGAGGCTGCCCTGCGCTCCCGGAGGGCCAAACTCACCGTGCTCAGTAATGGCACCCAAGCTGTTTCTCCCCTTCTCCAGTTCCTCTTCAGTGTCCCAACCTTTTCCTCTGCTCGCCTTTCCCCCTACTGTCTCTGCTCTCTCTTTGACTCTCTCAACAATTCCTTACATGAACTTCTTCAAAGACTAAGTTCTTGAGAATAGAAAGATGGCTCAGTGGTTAGATGCATCTGCTATCCTTGCAGAAGATCTGGGTTCAGTACCTGACACCAACATCCGATGGCTTACAAGCAACTCCGGCTCTAGGTGGAAGAAAGCTTCCAATGCCTTCTGGCTCGCTCGTAATATGCTACATACATAGGCAAACAGGTGCATGCACACACACACACACACACACACACACACACAATGTAAATTATACTTTTTAAATAACTAAAAGCAAGTTCCAGGACAGCCAGGGCTACACAGAGAAACCCGTCTCAAAAAACCAACCAAACAAAGAAACCAAAGCTGAAAGCAGGTAACCGAGTAGGAGGCTGTGCTATGCCAGCCTCTACTGGGTATTGTGGTGTCTGTGAGTTTGCTGTCCTTTGCTCTGACCTCTGCCCAGATCACACCAAGAGCCCAGGCCTTCCTTGTGAGACACAGCTGTTAAGACAGGGCTCCCTGCCCCAAGAAGCCCTGAGACCGCACCCACACCTTTCCTGGTTTAGTTGCAGTCAGGTTTCTTTAGGGAGCTTTCCTTGCTCTTCTCCAACCCTCCGCTCTCCCTGAGCCCCACACCTTTTTCCCCTCAGCCCAGCCCACCTGGCTGCTCCTTCCCTCTGTGTGTGTGTTTCTCTCTTGTTAGATGGTCCCTGGAACATCATGGAGTCTGGGGTGGGGGTGGGGGGCAGAGCTAGAAGAAACAAGCCTGGGGGCTGGGCCCAGGAGTGAGCCTGTTGCAGCTAGAGTGGCCTGAGGCCTTGTCTCTGGGGACAGTAGATGCAGCAGGGCAAACCTTGGCCATCTGAATGATGGAGGACTGTCCTCCACACAGAACAAAAGGGAAGGCAGCAGCTGGCCCATCTTCAGGCCTGCGGATCCCCACAGCTCGGTGCTCTCACTGCTTCTGTCTATGTCATGCTTTCTCCTCGGCTTGGGCCCTTCCACCCGGAGCCTCTCTTCCCTCTTTAATTGACTCTGTCCCTTTCTCTTTCCTCTTCTATCCACAACCCTGCCCCCATTGCCGAGTTGTGTGTACCAGGGAACAGAGAAGAGGAGGAAGGGCGAGGACTGAGAGAACAGCTAGCGGGGCAGAGGCCCCGGGACACAGCACATCACACGTAGGCTGACCACACGTAGCCTCCGTGAGGGGACTTCACTAGGTCTCCAGTGGAGAAACAGACTCAGTGCCTGTAGGCGCTCCACCAAGACCACGTGACCACGGAGGAGGGCACCAGCATTTGAAGGGCATCGATCTAAATTCCAGCCCTTCTCCACTCTGCCTCTCCACGTGTACAAATTGAACAGACAGCTGTGTCAGCAACGGCACCTCCAGCACGGAGACCTTCATTTCACCCACACCAGGGACGGCCCCGTCTGCCGTCAGCTCTGTGAACCTCCCACGTCTCTCTCAAGGGTCCTCTCAAGAAGTTTCCTCTCTGTCTCCCTTGTCTTGTCTTTCTCAGAAAGAAGAGAGCAGAACTCCATGCTCCTTTCTGGCTGTTGAAGATCTAGTAGACTGGATTATAATCAAAATCCTTTCTGCCTTTATCCCATCAATGGCCCATTCGGCCAGTAGGCCTGTGGGCTTGCTGTTCTCCACGTTGATAAACACAGCTGGTGTGAGAGTTAATAGGAAGAAATAGAGAAATACAGTGTCACAGACCTCCAATCCCTGCACTTGGCAAGTGAAGGCAGGAGACTCATGAATTCAGTGCCAGCCTAGACCACATAGTGAGACTCTATCTTAAAATAAGTAAGCGAATAACTAAGTATTCTATTTATTTATTTTAAAAAGAACCCATCCACGGCGAACTTAAGGCCCTTGGTCTTGGAGAGCACAGGATCTGCTCACCTTAACACTTAGAGGCCTTCTACCATGTGGTCATGGTAGAAAAGGCACCTTAGGCACAAGGATAGGTATAGCCAACTCAGGTCCTGAAGGATGTGACAAAGGCCTGGTTCAGCTTTAGGCAATGAAGACTCTTTTGCAATCAGCAATAGTGACCACTGGGCAGACTACAGTCAGAGCAGGGGAACCTCTGGCGGTCACGTGATGCTTGCTGCACCCAGGACTTGACCAGGGTAGTAACAGCAGCTCTGAGAGAGGGCATGCCTGGTGGAGGAAACAGCAGGAACAGAGTGAGTTGGTGAGCGTCTGCAGGGTGTGGCTCAAGGACCCTGAAACGGAGGCCGGGGGTGGAATCAATGCCATAGGCCCTAGTGGCCTCTGGGGCATTTGAGCAGGAGACCAGCACAGCACAGTCCTGCTTGCTATGGGGAAAGCAACCTGTGGGCCATGCCAGGCAGAGGAGCAGGGCTGTGGGGTAGATGTAAGGAGTCCCGAGGAGGAGATACCCTTCCTTCCCAGGGTACGATCTGTATGCAAGACCTTGAGCTAGTCCCCCACTCTGGAGCGAGTACCCTGAGTCCAGTCCCGGGCAATAAAAGCTGCTGGGAGAGGGCACGGGCAAACTGAGAGAGCTTGCCTGCTCAGGCCTATGGGTGAAGCCTCCAGTGAGCACTGGGTGTGGTGACGTGAGCTGGAGGACGGTGGCATTGCCCGGCCAAGAGGGACACATGCAGGTGGAAGGACACCCCCATCGGGGCACAGTTGGCTGCACCCCGAGCTGATTTTGTTCTCCTCTTCCCCCCAGTTCCTCCAGAGGACACAAGGATTGACGGGGCCCCCGTGATTCTGCTGCAGGCAGGCACCCCCCACAACCTCACGTGCCGAGCCTTTAACGCCAAGCCTGCTGCCACCATCGTTTGGTTCCGGGATGGGAGCCAGCAGGAGGGGGCCGTGGCCAGCACAGTGAGTACCCGCCTGCCCCTCTTAGACCCAGCTCCGTGTTCCCTCTCCTTCCCCAAAGGGGCCTGCGTGAAGACTGATAGATAGGTGGACTTCCGGGTTCGCTTTGCCGTTCCCTAAGAATTTCCTGTGTGCTGGGTGCTGTGCCTGGTAAACACTCTCCCTTCAACCTCGGAAGAGCCCCATAAAGTAGGTGTCACCTCCAACTTCCAAAGGAGGAAGTTAATGGTCAGTGCCTGGCGTTCTGTGCCCGAAGCTGACTGCACCTCTTCCCTCAGCACAGCCTAAGGCTGCAGCAGCTGGGGTCGTGAGCACATTCTCGGATGGGGACGGTATGATAGGATACGTCACTTACCCGGAATCACACAACAAGGAATCAGATCTTGTACTTGAGGGACACTGCCAGCTGTGGCCAGCGTGTCTGTGCACCCTCCCTGCCCTGGGTACCACAAGAGACACTTCCCAGTGGGGAGAGAATGTGTGGAGAGGCTGGATTCTGGCTTTAGCCCTTAGTGGCCTCCATGGCCTCAGGCAAATCTCTTCCTTCTGGCCTCTGTGCCGCCATTTGATAAATGACCATTTGACCCCAGTGGGGCCTGACTTCTTCACCATCAAAAGCTGTGACTTTTCTGCTGGGGCTGGGGGTCAGGGATGGGGGGACACTACAGGTTTTAAAACATCTTGGCAGGCAAACAAGTTGGTTTGTTGATACCGTTTGTCATCTGCTCCTCTCCTTTGCTTGTTCACTCAAGACTGTTGTGCTTCAGAATATCACTGTGTTGTGCATGGGTTGGGTGCATGGCTGTGTGAATGAGAGGCCTCGTTCTTGTTCATGGTGTGGTGTCCCCAGGTAGGTGACAATATAGGAAACAGCTTGGGGTGTCGCTGAGCCAGTGAGTGTGTGAGCTGTGGAGTCGTCCCTGCACTCATTAGAGCCACCACTGAAGCACAGATGCTTAGGGCCCAATGTAAGACAGTCTGTTAGTGGTGCAAGTTCCGGCAGGAGAGAGGCCTAAGGTCTGGGCTGGCCAGGAAGAAGAACTTAGAGAGTTCCAGGATGAAAGCTCAGGACAGAGAAAGCTGCATGACAAAGGGTGAGTGCTCATGCACCTACAGGCGTTGGTATAGGAGGCCAGCGCTAGACATCACAGTAAGATCGCCAGGCTCTTGTAAGAGGTAATAATGAGGGAAGCTGTGGTGGAGGAGGAAGTTGCCTGTCTCTCTGAGTTTTCTGAGATGCAGAAAGCTTTTTAAAGTTGCCACAAATTCAGTGAAGCTGTCACAGGCGGAGCTGCTCCGCCATCCTTCCGCTGCTTTCTCTGAGAGCAGAGCAGTAGGCTTTTAGCCCTGACTCTGCCTTCTCCGTCCCCAGGAACTGCTGAAGGACGGTAAGCGGGAGACTACGATTAGCCAGCTGCTCATTCACCCCACGGACCTAGACATCGGGCGGGTGTTCACCTGCCGCAGCACGAACGAGGCCGTCCCCAATGGCAAGGAGACGTCCATCGAGCTGGATGTGCACCGTGAGTGTTGTCCGTGAAGTGGGCACAGAGCGCGGGCAGCTCTAGAGGCACAGAAGGATCCCCGAGGCCCAGCACCAATGCTCCCCTCACTCCCCGCCGCCATGGTCAATAGCGGTTGGCAGATGAGCACTGAGTGTAGTGTTTTGTCTCCTTGTTGGAGTGGTGAGCATTACAGAATCTACAGCACAGGAGCATCTAACAGGGCTGTGCTTTCCTCACATTCCTCCTCAGGGATGCCGGCACCCTAGTGTGTCACAGTAAGCTAAGCTAGCCCACACTGCCACCTAGTGGCCGGATTGGTCATTACAGCCACTGGATAATTTGTTCCTTCACTGTCAATCTTGGCCTGAGCCTCCTCCAGAAAAAAACTGTGTAGAAAAGGTGAGGGGGTAGCTGACCTTTTGTAAACTTGAATTCTCACTTCACATCCAAGTGTTAGGAATATATGTGTTATGAGGGGAAAGAGAGGGGCTCGGGGAACAGAGGAGACCCTGACTTCCTGTCCCCTGCCTTGCAGACCCCCCTACAGTGACTCTGTCCATTGACCCCCAGACGGTGCAGGAGGGCGAGCGCGTTGTCTTCACGTGCCAGGCTACAGCCAACCCGGAGATCCTGGGCTACAGGTGAAAGGGTCGGGATCTGGGAGCGCTGTGCAACTGAGAAGTGACGAGGCCCGTGAGTGGGGGAGGGGCTGCCGGAGAGGCCAGCGTCCCTGACCTCCATCTGTGCCACCTCACCCTTCTAGGTGGGCCAAAGGGGGGTTCTTGATTGAGGACGCCCACGAGAGTCGCTACGAGACGAATGTTGACTACTCCTTCTTCACGGAGCCGGTGTCTTGTGAGGTTCACAACAGAGTGGGGAGCACCAACGTCAGCACTCTGGTGAACGTTCACTGTGAGTGGCCACGCGGGCAGAGGCAGGCGCAGAGCGCAGGCCCAGGGGTCCTTGGGCACAGGGGAGGGAAGCTCTGGTAGCCTGGGAGAGGGGAGTGACCGTGGGAGATGGGGTGGGGCAAGATGGAGAGGGCGAGCCCGAGACTCCAACCACCCTCCCTCCTTCAGTTGCCCCCCGGATTGTAGTGGACCCGAAGCCTACAACCACAGACATTGGATCCGATGTGACCCTCACCTGTGTCTGGGTCGGGAACCCCCCCCTCACCCTCACCTGGACCAAGAAGGACTCAAACATGGTAAACCTCTCCCTGCCTGCTCTGCGTGCTGGGAGGAGGGGCCACGACCTCGAGGTGTGGTGAAGACGATGGGCTCAGGGCTGTTTATTCAGATCAAAACTGGAACATGCTTCGGGGCTTGGGATCTGGGAGAGGAGAGCATGCCTGTGGCCAGCCGTACCCCTTCTTTGGACTTTGCAGAGAACTCGGGGTGTTCAGTGTGTTTGTGGCGCACAGAGAGGTAGGAAGCTGGCAATGAAGTTGAAGCACTGGACAGTCTGGGCCAGAATTGTAAGGGGAATTTCAAAATAAAGCCACCTTACCTGGCTTGGTACTAGAAGATGGGAACAGACCATCAGAAAGGGTGGTCGCCATCGTTAATCTGCCCTTGTACAGCGGTGCCTTGCTGCCAGCCTGCATAGAGTCGGGGGGGTAGATCAGCCAGACTCGGGAGCCCATTTGCCTTCTAGGAATTCACTGTGGCCCTTCATGCTTTCTCTCCCATGCCTCCAAATGCGGGGCCCTCACCGACCTAGGGGCCCAGGCTTCCTGGCTCCCCACCCGAGGCTAATCTCTCTGCCCAGGTCCTGAGTAACAGCAATCAGCTGTTGCTGAAGTCAGTGACCCAGGCAGATGCTGGCACCTACACCTGCCGGGCCATCGTGCCTCGGATCGGAGTGGCTGAGCGCGAGGTTCCGCTTTATGTGAATGGTGAGTGCCCTTGGTGGGAGGCCAGCACCGAGGCTGCCGCCGGCCTGACACTGGCCTGACCACGTCTTCCTGCTTCCAGGACCCCCGATCATCTCCAGCGAGGCGGTGCAGTTTGCCGTGAGAGGGGATGGCGGCAAGGTGGAGTGCTTCATCGGCAGTACCCCGCCTCCAGACCGGATCGTGAGTGCTGGGCTGGCTGTGCCTCCTCAGGTTCCCCGCCCTTTCTGGTCCTGTACTCCTCTGCCTTTTCATGCCTTCTGTATCCTTTGACCTGTTCCCTTACTTGTGTAATGCTGAACAGATTAGTGGTTTGAGCCTCAGTTTCCCCTCTGTGTCATAAATTTATGTGACAGTCATGACCGCAGCAGTTATGAGCCTATCAGAGGGCCAGGCAGTGTGGCCTGTGCCTTTAATTGCAGCAGGTAGATCTCTGAGTTCAAGGCCGGCCTGGTCTACAAAGTGAGTTCCAGGACAGCCAGGGCTACACAGAGAAGCCCTAGTGGAGCTCCTCGGAGTCAGGTGATGCAGGCCCCCTCTCTCCTAGTGAAGTGCCTTCCTCCCTTCCTTCATCTTCTCCTGGGCTGCTCCCTCCCAGGCTTTTCTCTGTGCCTCCCTTTCCCTCTTCTGCCTGCCTGCCACTCCTCCCTCCCCACCAGCTCTCCCTCCCATCTGTCCCACTCTCCTCTTTTTTTTTTTTTTTTTTTCCCTGTCTTCCTCCCACTAGCCCCAACCATTCCTCATTCCTTTCTCTTCTCCCCTGTACCATAAAGAGCGGATTCCTCCTGTGGCCACTAACCATCAAAACCCTCATCACATTTAATGACCATTTGGCTAACTCCAGGGCTGCCCAGGGATCCTTCATTACCACAGCTGCCTGGGCAGAAGACGGTTTGGCTCCCAGGAGGCTTGCCTCATAGCGCTGGGATGGCTGATCCCTGGAAAGGAGCCAGCGTTCAGCTGCTCCTCTTCCTCAGCCTCCCCTACGCCAGAGAACACACGGGACTGCCTCAGCAGGGAGGCCAGGGACGGGAGGCCTGGGGAGATTCCTCTTGCTCCCCTCCCCGCTCACAATGAAGAGCAGGCCTACGCATCCAGAGAGCCAGGAGGGGATGGGTCTAGGCGGGGGTGCAGCTATAGGCTAGACCAGCGTGCGGTCGGCATCCCCGGGCTGAGCACTGCCATTGCAGAGCTGAAATGCCGTTTCAGGCCTAGAGAGGGAAAAGGGGTACTCTGGGGAAACTGAGCCCCGGGGTCTCGGGCCCCAGTCCAGACTGCCCTGCCACAACCAGGATCCAAATATTGGCTCATGAGCATATCTGTTACCTAAACCTCCAGATAAATCCAGTAGTATCCACTCTGCGGAAGCTGTGACTTCTGGAGCAGCTCAGTGACAAAGATTTACAGTAGTTGCTGTGGTGGCTGTGTAGTTGTTGGTGTGGTGGCTGTGTGGTAGTTGGTGTGGTGGCTGGTGTGGTAGTTGGTGTGGTGGCTGTGTGGTAGTTGGTGTGGTGGCTGGTGTGGTAGTTGGTGTGGTGGCTGTGTGGTAGTCGGTGTGGTGGCTGTGTAGCAGTCGGTGTGGTGGCTGTGTGGTAGTTGGTGTGGTGGCTGTGTAGCAGTCGGTGTGGTGGCTGTGTGGTAGTTGGT